GGTTAGCCTCGATTTTGTATAGAATATTCATGTGTTCCATATCTCATAAAATAAAACCAGAATTGACAAGAAATAGACATTACTGGGAGAGATGATGTCTCTGTCCTCTGCCTGCCCGTCCATCCGTCCGTCTGTCCGTCCCTCCGTCCGTCCCTCCGTCTGTCCGTCCATCCATCTACATGTTCATCCATCTTTTAATTCTTTTTATTTTAACTTCAGCTGTAAAATTGATTGGAAGAAAGGAAAAAATATCACCCAGAAAGTGATAAAGAAAAAACAAAGACATAAAGGTATTATCAATAATACACCACCCACCACTTTTATTCAATCTAGACTAGAAAATACCCCAAGAAGTTGAATCCTTCTTTGTATGAAAAATTGCAACATACTTCATACGAAAGTCAGTCAAGTGTTTTTAAATATTTTTTTCAGAGTTCATGGAACATCATCAGATGATGTTACAACTTCTCCTAATGTGTAGTTCCAACTTCTCCTAATGTGTAGTTCCAACTTCTCCTAATGTGTAGTTCCAACTTCTCCTAATGTGTACTTCCAACTTCTCCTAATGTGTAGTTCCAACTTCTCCTAACGTGTAGTTCCAACTTCTGCTAATGTGTAATTCCAACTTCTCCTAATGTGTAGTTCCAACTTCTCCTAATGTGTAGTTCCAACTTCTCCTAATGTGTAGTTCCAACTTCTCCTAATGTGTAGTTCCAGGAATAGCAGATATCGGAGTTACACCCTGTTGCCTTCAAACAATTGTTTCAAGTTGAAGCATTTGGGTCAATACAATGAAATGTCAAGTGTATAGAAACTGACCTAAATGTGACAATGACAAATGTGTCTGACGGCAATAGAGCGTAACTCTGATCATCTGCTATTATCCATCCCCCCCCCCCAGGGAGGAATTATTTGGAATTTCCAAGGGAAGGGAAGTTAGAGAAAGAACAAATGACAGAGTTTGTAGAAGAAAATTGGAAGTTCCGGGCGTGGTGGGGGTAGGGGGTGGGGTCTTTAAAAATATTCCTTTGTGGTGGGTTATGGATAATTTCTGGAACTACACAATTTCAGTTCTCGTCAAATTTTATGCTCAACTCAATGTTTTTTTAAAATACACTAGTTTTCTTTGAAGTAAAAAATAATAATAAACAAACTAATTAATTCTACAGCTTCTCATTAATCCCATATAGGTAACTGTCCAATTATTTTCTTAATTGGACAGGTCTTGTTGATATGGGATTAATTAGGCAGCTATATAATTAATAGGTAATGGGATTTCATGCTCCCCAATCAAGAAATAGACTCGAAAAATTCGTCTGACTGCCAAATTGGACTCGGCCTACGGCATCATCCAACTTTGTCAGTCCTCGCAATTTCCTTGTCCAATTATTTCTTAATTGGACAGCATGGAGTCCTATTACATATACTAATAGGACACTTGTATTATAGCATCATTTAATACAGCTACCAGACTCCCTTGCACACTTTCTTTTGTTCAGTTAATTAGCACCAATTGTCTTACTATTCTCATGAGGGAATACAAATTTGAATAAGAAAGAAAATTCGCGAAGCATTTTGGTCGTGCTAGTCGAATGACGCCATCATGCAAAAGGCCCAATAATTAAATAAAAATAAAATAATAAGTTTTCTTTGAAGTGCTCTTCCCCTTATCAATCAAACTTTTCAAATACATTCCTAAAAATTTTGATTTTTTCTTAGATTTTTAAATGGTTGAACTGTTCTGGAAAAACGAAGGAAATATGAAGTAAATATAAAGTACAAAAACAAAATGGATTCGTAGGAAGAATTCAACCACTTTTAAAGTGTATATGACACGAAAAAATTTTAATGTTAAGAATGTGTAGTTTATT